TAACACAACCTAGGAGGCTGCTGGTCTTCGTTGTGGGCTGGCTCACAGTCAGCTTGTTACCCACCATGACACCCCACGCCTTTTCAAAACTTGCCTGAACACTAGCGTCCCCTTCGAAAAGCGGCCATGGTCAGTGCCCTGGTATCACTCAGGTTGTGGAGGTTTCTTCCACACCACGGCCTCACTTCACCCTGCTCCAAAGGAGAAGGCTGGCAGGAGGCCCAGCCCAGCTCATCATTCAGGACTGACTCAGCAGCAGGGAGAGGAAGCAAGCTTTTTAGTAGCCACGAACAAGTTTAGCAAGTTCCCAGGACTATCAAAGAGGTATTTTTTTTTTTTTTTACAGTAAAGGCTTTACTATAAAAGCTTTCATAAGAGCTTCTAAGAAGTTGAAAGTGGTAGATAAAAAAAATTTGTCCTGTTCTTACGATACAGACAGCAATTTAAGAAGAGCACAGAAGAGCATGCCACCTGAAGTCCTCTACTTTCCCAGAGCAATGCAGCGGTATGAGTAAGGCTACACCTCCCCAGTCAAACCTGCAGAAGTATTCATGTATCACCATAGCCTGTAGAAAGATTACAGTCTTTTATTGATTTCTTGTTTTACAGATTCAGATTTAACTTTCAATAATAAAGTTCAATAAATCGATTCCCTAATCATAAAAACTTGTTTTACACATTATGTACAGGTACCCAGAGACGACAGCCATACAGCATGTCACACCTATACCACAGACCTTCACAGGGAGCGAGGCGGGGAGAGGCGCTAACTGCAATGACATACATTCAGAGATCAAGTCGTGGATATGCACAGTGCATTTGGCACAGCTCACTGAAGATTGCCCACACAGGGACAGTAAAATAATCCCAACTAAGTGATAATGTGGCTTAGTTCAACTACATTAATTCCAGGAGGAACACTTAATTCACAATTAAACTAGCCATCAGAAGAGATTTGATTAAGTTGAATCAAATGCAGCTGAACTAATCACTTTAGTTTCATTAAGCATCCCTCTATAGACAAATCCTAGACCTCGAGATCTATCTCCAATATAAAACCAGTTTTTTTTTAGCTGAGATATGCAGAAGTTTGAGGACTGAGGGGAGCTCAGGTATTGGAAGTATTCTTTGGCAGTTTGATACAAATATAAAAAATAATTACTTTTGAGGATTAAACTAAGCTTTTCCCATTTTGTATCTCTACTGCCAGCACCAGAAATGCTTCAGTGACACAGTTAACACTTACATATGGTAACTTAAACACAACCTTACATTTTAATGAAACAGAATTCATATTACAGATAAATTTCAATACTCAAGATACCCTCCAAGAAGCTATTTGCTCCCCACAAGAAGTTAAACTTAACATTCAGCAAGAAAACCTTCCTCTGGCAACAACAGAACCCAGGAAACATTGCACAGATTGGCCATCTCTGCACCATGGGAACCGGCAAACGCCAGAGACCAGCCTGCAAAAGGCAGCTAACTGTACTCTGAGCATTCCAGCTCATACAGACTGTTATATGTCAAAACCATTAGTTAATTGATTAAACATCCCTTTCACTTCTATGAGATTAAGTAGACCACAGCACTCTCCTGTAACTGCAGTCTGATCTTAGTATGACAAAAAACTGCAGCTGAGAGTTTATGCAATCTGCTTTATCACATTACATCAAGCTACAACAGTTAAAATACAGTTTCACAAAGAAGCAGACATTCATTTAAAATCTGGCAATTCCCTTTTAAAAGCAGTCATCTTCCCTTCTAGTAACATGCCTATCCTGAAGGAGATAAAGCCAGGTTCATTTTGAAGAGGGGGAAAAAAAGGAAACACTTCCAGAACGAAGCGTCCGACAGTTCTACAGCCTGCAGGGCAGAAGGCTGCAATATTAATGTTTGTCTCCAGTAATACAGCTCTAAAGATATTGCTTTGTCCAAATGTTGCTGTAACAACTTTGCATTTCCAATTACTTCCAACAACAGGAATTTAACTGGGATAGGGCATTCCACAATGAAGAACATTAGCTAAATGTATCTATTCTCTCCATGTTGAGATGCTGTAGTGCAGCTTCGCTTCATGTCTGCCGCAGACTCCCATCCAAACTTCTAATGCGCCGTTCAGAACAAACCTAATAAAGGCTTAAGCAGACTCCCCTGCTGCGCACACGAGCACAAGCTGTGGAAGTGGACCTGGTCCATTTTCAGATTTCTTCAGCACATGACGCCAGAGCCTTAGCCAGCTTGTCACCTTAAGTGAGACTTTCATGGGGAGAAGAGGTATACAAACAATACATAGTACAGCTTGTGCACATTCCCTATGGAAAAGTGACCCGATGCTAAGAGAAGTTTCACTCAGGGCTGTAGGAATACTTTGATTTTACCTCTTAAAAAAACCACCCAGAACAAAAGAGGAGGGGTAGTGCTACACAGACTGCCTACTCCATTTACCATAGAAGCTTCCATTCCTTTTCATGGAATCTTCTCAGTATTTCTACAACTTGATACTAGGTACTGCTGGCTTAGTCATCATGGCCAAGTAGCAGTCTCTATTCTCCTAGTTAACAGAACTGACCCCTCTGGAATTGATATATTATGTAGCAAATATATCTGAAGATAAACCAGGTGATTAGCTCTGAAATGCCTGACCATGAAGAATTAAAAAGAAACCAGCTGACATGAGAGTTCTTCCTCGGATTTAAGGACCTTCAGGGCATGGAACTCCTATTTATGTTGTCCTGTAGATTTCACAAGACTTAATTCTTGCATGTTCTTTTAGTCACTCAGACATGAAAGCGAGGATAAATTAATCTCTGAACAGCTTTGCTTGCACTAACTGCCTTTTTCATAGAGGAAATCTGTGAATTTCTCCCTCCCCATAGATTCTCACGCATTCACACAGACTCTCTAGAAAGGTAAGACACTTTATTGAATTTCTTGATAAATTAAGAAAGGACTATGAACCAGACTTATGGGTCACAGGTGTTTGTAAACAGACATCAATTCCTTCCCACAGAAAGCCCAACTCCACATGCTCAGCCAGAAGTCACTTTCCCCAGCGTTGCTCACAGGCTGCATAGTGATGGAGGGCAGAGAAGAAGTCTTCATAGCTGATGTTCAGATGGGAAGGCAAAGAACTAAGAAAGCAAGTTAGAAAAGTTCAAAATAAGATTTTTATAAACACCATCTGATTTGTATGGCCAGTCAGAAACATCACTACTGAAAGCAAGCTATTGTCTAAGTCACCTTGTGAAGTTGTTCTCAACACTGTTACTGTCCTTCAACTCCAGTAACTAAACTAGCTGTTAGTAGCTTGTCAAAGCCTACCCATGAGAGCACATAGGGCACTTCAAATTAGTGAGAAAGTTGGAGAAGCACAGGTCTGCCCAGACATTTAAATGCCCCATAAATGCTCTCAGATTTAAGAAATATAGCAACTCTAGTCAGTTCAGTTATTGCCAAAATTGGAAAGTAATCCAGAGGCACAATCTTACATTATCCTATTTCCCTTACATCCTTTGTTTCCCTGATAGAAACCTGTAAGCCACTCAAAATCCACATAAGGAACACTGACAGAACTGGGATTGGATCACTGAGACTCAATGGTGACAGAAGCTGTTTCTTAAACCTGAAGAGTAAAGTCTGCTGTTGCCCAATTGTGGCTGAATGTTTGACAGGGTTCATTTAACAGTTTTTAAATACCCTCAAATCAATCTCCAGACGCCTTATTTTAGGCAGATGTCCCCTTATGGCTATTTCCATATGGTAAGTTACATAAAGACTCATTTAGTTGGATATTATTCAAGCCTGTTTCGCAGTATTTATACGCAACTCACATGATCTCTGTCAGTCTGATGTGCCATGGAAGGAATCCTAATGTGCTGTCCACAGGACCAAACTTCAAGACTAAATCAGGATCAGGAAATCCATTTGTACCTGTAAAGAACATGTTAAATTAGGTTTTAATCAAATTCACCACAAGATTTGTTTTAATTCTAAACCCTAAGGTATCTGCTTTTTCATTAAATGCTTTTTTTTTTTAAATGAAGTGAAGCTCCTGAGGACAAGTTAACAATTAAAGGTCCAAGAGGAAAAACTGGTCTTGTACCACCTGAACAGGATCGGCTGGGCAAAAGTTTAGGCAGCCACTGGAGGCCCAGCTGGACTGTTATTTTTATGTCAGGTAGTTTTCAAAGACTCAGTAAGGAAGTGATAGGAACAGTTACATTATTTTGAATAACAGCAAACCTTAATCCTGTTTAAACTGACTTGTTCTAGTTTAGTCTTGGCAAACTTGATTTTAGTAGTGTAGAACATGCTGTACCCTGACCCATACCTACTACAGTCCTAACTCAGCTGTGTGGGAGTTGCAGTCAAGTAAAAGGACTATTAACACAAAAAAAGTTAAGGAGGTTCTACTGAAAAAGAACAAATTGATATTGCAGACCATCAAAAAAACAAGTTGTAAAAAAAAATATACCGTCAGATGAATTGTCTCTTTCTCAGTATGGAGCTAGACAATTTAAAGAAGAAATTTTACCATGAAGTTTCAGACAAACTGTTGCAGGTGACATCTTTATGATTAGATGAGTGAGGAAGAACAGGGCAATTATGTTTTTTTGCTGTTATAAGTGGACAGCATGACCCATCACAGGGCAGGCCTAGGTAACATTGAAGGACTTGACTAGGTGCCCACACTCTTACTACCCATACCTTAAAGCCCCAGTCACTGTCATGTCACTAATGAGAGCACTCTACTGATCTTCTGAGATTGATCAGTAGCCAAATGACAGTCTCCCTTCCTGAGCTACTCCAGGCTAAAATTGACAGATAAGCAATAAACTTAGAATGAACAATCTTAGTCTAGGTTTCCCTGCTAATTCTAAGAAGTTGATTAGGGCAACATGTGAAAACCCCAAGGGGACCCAAGAAGGTAAGCTGTTCTTCATGCACCTACCTAGCTCATCTGAAAAGCACTCCAGTAGTCATAACCCTGCTTTGCTATAATGCTGCAATTAGTCATAATTATTGCATGTTATTTCTTGTTACCCCCTCCATTATCCATTAATTCTACAAGTTAACTGCAAGAGCACTTACATCGCATAATGCCTACCTTTAGCAGATAAAGTTTAATACTGCATATTTGCTCTGAACTTCAGATGTTATTTCTCAATTCTTTTCTCACTTGTTTAAAAAACCCAAACCAGTCAAGAATCTTTTACAAGTTTAAGTTTTAGTTGTACAGGAACTTAACTTTGGGATTAACAGAACAGGAAACCCAGGTCCTATCAGATTTCTCTCCATCCAGGTTTTGAAACCGAAGCTGGAGACTTCAAAAAGTTCACATCCTCCCTCCTGAATATCACAATAGTAATCCTTTTACCAGAGGTAAAGAAGCTATTTTTCCCGAGCATGTGCATTTCTAAGGAACAATAAAGTGTTTAGATACAAGTGCCTTGTGCCAAAGTCCAAATCTTATCTCAAAGTTAAGAAAAAAAATTATAAAGCAAAAGCCACTTATGTGTTCAGGAACTAGCATGTTAGTACAAAAGAGCTTTGCAGGGAAGCAGTGAATACTTAGAAGTGGGGACTCTGGAGCAAGTGGACAGCTTTACTCATCAGCTGATTCAGTAGCTGAGTACTCCTCAGCTGGCCAGTTCAGCAGCAGGATCTTCAACATTGCAATGGCTTTTCAAACAGGAAAAGACCTTCAGAGAGCCCAGTTAATGCTAATATTTCCTTCTGGTTCCTATCTGAAGGAAAATGAAAATGTACACTGTAGTATTACTGTCAGAACAGCCTATTCAAAACACAGTACTGTGCTTTCCACTCTGCATCCATTTCTCTACCTAAACATATCAACACTACAGATACTGCACATGTGGAAGCTCCCTCAGAGCTGCTAGAGTTACAGCACTCCAAGTTTAGCACACACAAGATAAAAGGATTTGGGAGAAGACTCAAAAAACAAGAGGCCAAAAGACTTGGACACTCAAGGGACAGTAATCTGGCAACATCCCTTCTAGGTCAGGAGTTCTGTGAGGGGAACATGAAGGAATTTGTAGAGCTGACAGCACTACCCTTCTCTTCTCCACCTAGATTTTATAGGACAATGAACAGCCTTAATTGAGAGTCATACTCTTTACTGGAAGGCAGATAGCAAGTAGAGGCAATATTATAATGCGGCTGGCACCTACTTCTCTGAAAACAAGCTAGGTTAGCTGAGGCATTGCTCAGGAGAAAGTACTCTTACACTGAAGAAACTCAAGCTGTAAAAGTTACAGCATTGACTGGATTAAGAACCAGAAAAGCCACATGACAAGCTAGAACTATACCATTTTAGGACTAGACTTTAATAACTGCACCCTAAATATGAACAACTACATTATCAGGTACTTAAATAAAAATGTGAAAAAACAGGAACTTACAGAAGTCACCACAAACCCTAAAAATAGACCTACTCACGTATTGCTTTTCAGAACTCACTCTCAACTTAGATCAGTAACTCACAGATGTCTACATTCAATACCTCTCCATTAAAGATGCACAGAAACTAAATTTGCCTACAACTAAAATGAGTCGTTTCATAAGCTGCTAAATAAGTCATGAAAGAATCCTTCTTTACCTCCAACTGTCCTAAACATTAAAACCAAGCAAATTAATAAGCAGGACAAGTTAGAGATACTATCCTTAGTTATTAGCCACATAGATTAAGCAGCCTGTTTTCAAAGTTTACAGTTTTGACAGATTAAAAGTCTAGGAGATTTCTCTTTCTGTGCTCAGCTAGCATGCATTACTTGAATAAGTCTGCTCAATTTAAGACTGGACCTAGTACTTTTAACATTATCTAGACACTTAAATGCATTGACAGAAGATCATGAACAAGTGTTGGAGAAGCTCCAGTTAAACATCACTGGCCAAAATACATCTGTGGGTATTGATTGTCACCAGTTCTCCACAAAATGAGTGACTGTTTTGAAGCAGCAATTAGCATTTCCTTAAATTGCCTTTGGGCTGTAACAGGATAGATGTCTAAGTTACTTCTTCAGGTGCCTTATTAAACACGTTAAATAATTCCGTTACAGTGAGAAGCTATCATGCAGCATGCTAACAACACAGGGATAGAATTCATTTTGAAATTAAGATTCATGTGTCCAAACTGCCACAGTGTCTGTCTGCAAAGCAATTCAATTGACCACCCATTCGAAAAAAATCACTCTGAAGTCCAATTAATGGGAGACACAATAACATGCCTGCAGACATACAATTTGAAGTGTGCAATTTGAAACCTGAACCCCACCAAGCTAATTACAGCTGCAATTAACATGCACAAATCACCTAGGAAAGCTGAGCAACTATTACAGCTCCATAGCACCACTGGGGAAGTGGAGGCTTGCTCTAAACTACTTCTGACAGATGTGAGATCAGGGCAGTCCTGCCCTTTTCATAGCTATTGCACATAGCCAAGCTCCTCAGTGCAGTCTCAGTAATCTACCTGAATTAGTAACAAAGGTAACTAAGCCAGCACAGGTTATATAGCAGCACAAGATCAGCAAGTGCTCTATCACTTGCTCTCAGGGTGGTAGCTGGGCAGCAGTAACAGCTTTAATTGCTGTAACTAGATCTGGAAGCAAGTCTCTGCCCATACCCAGGTTTGCAGCATGCTAACTTGCAAGAAGTTAACCTAAGTTATAGCAGTCTAGTTTCAGGTGATCCCAGCAGTACTTTTTTTCAGAAAGCACGTCACAGAACATCCCACAGAGAGTGTAACTCTGAAAAGCTGAGACTCTCAAATTTAGCTTAAGGTTTCTTTTTTCTTCCTAAAGGAAGAGCTCAAAAGGGAATAAAACACTAAGAAATTTTTAGCAGAGGCCTGAAAGCAATAATCGTAACTTACCCTGACAGACTAAGCATCAAAATACATACATTCTAAGCAACAAATATACTAGAAACTAAATCCGTTATGAATAGAGTAC